GGACTGGGAAAACTGCCTGGATTAACGGGGTGGGTCTGCAGAAGGTGAAGGTGCCACAACCAGGGGGTGATCTGGGGACAGGTGAGCTCCTTCCCACTTATAACTGGTGCCAGCACCTTGGAAAAATCCTCTTTCCTCCAGCCCTGCACCCCCCTCCTGCCCAGGCACCCTCAGGGATTGCAGCATCCCAGCACCCTGAACTTCTCTGAAAGTCGTTACAAACTTCTCTAAAAATCAATGGTCTCATCCAATCTCCATTTTTTAACTTAAAACCACCCATTGAATGCCCCGGTGCCCCCACCCTGCCTTTGCTCCCACCTTTCTTGGAGATAATCCTGTAATTAAGAGCAACAGAGAGAGCAGTCAAGTGCTGGGATAACAGGTGGTTCCCCCCAGCTCCAAGCCCTGATCCACATTGTAGGATCAGCCGCAGCACATCGCTGTTTATGGATTACAAATGGTGAGGGCAATCAAAGCAGCAGGTCCTTGGGGAGGCAGGTGAGGATGGGCAGAAAATCCCGGGGTGGGCAGAAAACCACCTGCAAAGTACCCATGAGCAGAGCAGGAGGTTTTTCCCTTGACAAACCCAGTCCTGAGAGTGATTTCAGCCCTGAGGGGTGGGGAAACTGAGGCCCAGAGGATGCTGGCAGGGTGACCAGCTGACATCTCCTTGCTTTCCCCTCCTCAGCTCCAAGCATTCCCAATAACCCTGTTGCCGGCCGATGCATCAGGCAGACACTTCAGCCTCTTGCAACTAATTATCCGTGGGATTCCCCATCCATTTCCAGCTGCTCTTTGCCTTCAGCACCCCAGGAGCTGCCGTGGTGACCGATGTCCTGCTCTAATCCCTGCTCCCCCCCTGCTCTCCCGCAGGTCGCGGCGCTGGAGAGGCAGATCTTTGATTTCCTGGGATACCAGTGGGCCCCGATCCTGGCGAATTTTTTACACATCATGGCCGTTATTTTGGGCATTTTTGGGACCATCCAGTACAGATCCAGATACCTCATGATGGTAGGTACTGCTGTGGGTGTCCCGGTGCAGCATCATCCCCCCTTGGAATGGCTCCGGTTCCCTCCTGGATCACTTGGAACAGGATGTCTGGAGAAGTGGCTTCCCACTGCCAGAGGGCAGGGTTATGGGATATTGGGAAGGAATTGTTGGCTTTGAGGGTGGGCAGGCCCTGGCACAGGTTGCCCAGAGAAGCTGTGGCTGCCCCTGGATCCCTGGAAGTGTCCAAGGCCAGGTTGGAGCAACCTGGGCTAGTGGGAGGTGTCCCTGCCCGTGGCAGGGGTGGAACTGGGTGATCTTCCACTCCTCTTCCAACCCAAACCATGGAGTGATCCTATGATACAACCCCAGATCCCTGCACAGAATCAGAGACTGTTAAAGACCTTAAAGACCATCTTTGAATTGAACTCCTGATCCCTGAGGTTTAACCAGCAACCTCGGGCCCCTCTGCCCTGCAGGGGTCTATCCCAAGGGGTGGGGGGCAGCAGGAGGGATGCAGGGGGTGGAACAGGGGTCCCTGACGGTCTCTCCCCCGCAGTACGCGGTGTGGCTGGTGCTGTGGGTCGGCTGGAACGCCTTCATCATCTGCTTCTACCTGGAGGTCGGGCGCTTGTCACAGGTAACCCCCCCCCAGCTGCCTCCTCACCCTCCCCACAGCCTTCCCTCCCTCTTCCCACCCTTCCTGCTCTCCTGCCCTTCCCCTCCTCCTTCTTCCCTGCTCCGTGTCTCTCCCTCAGAAGGGACACAGAGGCTGTGCGATGGGAGGGACAGACAGACAGTGCAGACCAAGGTGGCAGCGGGTGCCCCTTTCCCAATGTACCAGTGAGGGGATAAAGTGGAGAAGGAACACAAAGAACAGGGATGAGCAATGACAGGAAAGTTTGGGGCAGAGTCACTCGAATCTGGGGAGGGCAGTGAGTGGAAAGAGGAGACCCCCCTGCTGTACACACCCAATTTACAGGGTCTTCTGGAACTCTACGAGCTCCACTCAGCCCTGGAGTCCCCAGCAGTGGTTGAACATCATTAATGGCTTTGGGAAGTCAGCTGGTGGTGATGGGGTGAGGATGTGACGGGGTTATGCCTTTCCTTGTCCTTCCACCCCACCCTGGGCTGTTAAATCACAGTTTTACAGGAAAAAGAGCAGAACTTCACCCAGTGATGGTGCAGCAGCAGATGGTTTGAGCACCCTCAGCCCATGGCTGATGTAACTGTGCCAAGCTGTGCCCTGCTCTGCCATCCCATCCCCAGCTCTGAGGATGTTGTTCCCTGCTTGGGGCATCACAGAGGGCACGGGACAACCACTGCCAAAGCAGGGAGAGGAGTCCTGGGGGGCCTCCGTGGCTGAGACCATCTTCCCAGGCTGCTCCGGGTCATTTGAGGCTCTTTAAGGAGCTGAAGTGCTGGATGTGAGCAGCAGGCACGGAGGATGGGAGGGGGAGGATGTGATGGAAATCCCCAGTCTCCATCACTCTGTGATGCCAGAACACCCCCTGGTCCTGCTTCCAGCACCTGAACCCAAGTCCTTCAGCTTCACACACCCAAACCCACTCTCTTGCTATTTTTTTCCACACCCACCAGCAAAAGTTTTTTCATCCCAGATTGGTGATTTCCTACAAGGGATGCTCAGCAGGTTCCTCATCCCCCAGATCCAAGGGCTGGGGGTGCAGAAGGGGACTGGGAGGAGCCTCCCTGGGCTGGGGGCTCACCCAGTGGCACCAGGGGGACCTTCCCTGGGCTGGGGGCTCACCCAGTGGTACCAGGGGGACCTTCCCTGGGCTGGGGGCTCATCCAGCTGGGCAATGAGGCCCCTCCATGGGGTGGGAAAGGACAGGAAGGGGGTGGGGATTAGCCCTGCAGCCCTGCCTTGCAGCAGGGGGTTCCTGCTCGCCCACTGACACCTCAGAGCTGCTGTGGAGAGGACACAGGGAGAGCTCCAAAGCTTGTAAGGGGGTAACAAGGAGGGGACGTGTGGGGGGGGCCCTCACAAGGCTCTGTGGGGATGGGAGTGAAGGGGTGGCATCCCAAAACCCTAAGGGAAGAAGCAGGGGTTGCCCTGCATCCCTGGAGCATGCTAGGGGGGTGGTCCCATGGTCCTGTCTCTCGGGGCACTGGATGTGACCAGCAGCACCACAAGCAGCTGCTTCCCAAGTTGCCACACTGGTGACCACTCTGTGCCATCCTCGTGTCACCTGGAACAGGTGGTCCATGCCAGCAGCACGGCAGGGAGCCACAAACCCCTTGGACACTGGTTGCAGGTCAGGGAGATGCCCTGCTCTGTGTTGACGTGGCCCCACAGAGCATCCTTGGGTTGGACAAACCCCTTTTTCTGTCCAACCCTCCTGCCAAGAGCCTCAGCTCCACAGCCTGTGCCTCCTCCTCCTCCTGCAGGACCGAGACTTCATCATGACCTTCAATACCTCACTGCACCGCTCGTGGTGGATGGAGAACGGGCCGGGCTGCCTGGTGACCCCCGTGCTCAACTCCAACCTGGCGCCCGAGGACCACCACGTCATCACGGTCAGCGGCTGCCTGCTGGACTACCAGTACATCGAGGTGGTGAGCAGTGCCACGCAGATATTCCTGGCGGTAAGGGCACCCCTCCCTCGTCCTTCATCCCAAACTGTGGCTGAGAGAGCAGGAGTGGCGGGGTCGGGGTGGGCAGTCACCCTGCTCTGGCTGGAGATGTCCCAGAGCGTTGTCACCCCTCAGTGTGTTTGATGTTCTCACCAAGGGGGGTGTCCCCAGGGCTGGGGAGGGAGGAGCAGACAGAGCCCACGCCAGCACCCCGGGAGTGTTGTCCATCCCAAAATCTGGTGGGCTGTGGGCTGGGTGCTGCAGGAACCTGGGAGTTCTCAGTGTAACACACCCAGAAGGGCTGCTCACAGTTCCCAGTGTAACACACCCAGGTGTGCTGCTCACAGTTCCCAGTGTAACACACCCAGAAGGGCTGCTCACAGTTCCCAGTGTAACACACCCAGGTGTGCTGCTCACAGTTCCCAGTGTAACACACCCAGACGTGCTGCTCACAGTTCC